GAATATAAAAAAATATATATATAATAAGAAAATAGTATCGTTAAATTTGAAATTCAAGTTGTTAAATTCAATTTTTATTTATCCGAAATTTTCTGTCACCTGGATTTAACGATAAGAGCGATGGTAATGTTCATTTTCCATCTCCAGCAACCGAATTTTAAAGTTGATATTGACGGATGGGTTAAGTTAGACAGACCAGATTACTGATTTTAAATGGATGTGCTAAAGCGAAAATCCTAATATGTAAAGCCAAAATTGATTATTCTGACTAAAATAACTGTTTGTATATAATTCAAACGAGCGATATACTCTACTTTTTCCACTCTTTTTTTTTTTTGTATAGGTCATCTTATTTTTATAGTTCTAAAATGTTAAAAAAACATGCTAAAAATTTTTAAATTTAATTTTACATTTATTTATTTATTTACGGAGTAAACAAATACAGGAGGAGTCTTTACTTATGCTGTATTAAATGAATGAATTATTAATTCAAGAAAGTGATAATAGACACTTGTTTTTCCTTTATTTTTATTATTATTATTATTATTTTTATATAATGATTAGCTTTATTGTTTTTTTAATAAATGCTTTAAAAATCTTTTAAACTTAAATTATTTTAGATTTATTTAGTTATTTATGGAAAGAGGGTGCTTACTTTTATGCATTATACAGGTTAGAGTGAATGAACGAATTGTTAATTTAAATAAGTGATATACAATTTTCCCCCCTTTTTTTGTAAAAAATTATCTTTTTAAGTGCTAGAATGCTTTCAAAATGTTAAAAGTTAAGACATTTTAAATTTATTTTTATATATTCTTAAAAAGAAACTGGAACAACTTGCAATGAATGATAGACTAGAATGAATGAATGTAAATATAAATTAATTGACTTTTATTTTATATATATATTTTTTATAATTATAAGAAAAAAAAAAGAATTAAAAACTCTTAAAGTAAAGGTTAAATAGGAATTTACTAGATTATTTTCTCAAAATTTGTATTGAATGAATCAATAATGTTTAGACATACAAATTATTTACAGTTAATTTAATTTAATTTAAATTATGGATTAACTGTAAATAATTTGTA